TAGCTTTTCTTCAGGCCACTTCTCTGTGTTCTTTTCCAGTGCAAGAGCTACTTTATTATGCAAGAGTAACGCCTTCATTTTCTTTTTCCAACTGTCAAAGTCAATCTTCCCATCATATTGCGTAATTTCCATTCTGGTCGTAGCCATGGTGGGTGTGTGTGATGATTATCCCAATTTAGGCCCCAATTAGAACCTCGGATCTTCAATCTAAGAGCCCTAGAGTACCCAGAAGTGTTTAAAATTGAAAAACCCCAATTTTCCTTCAAACCCTAGATTTCCAAAAATCTTTTCGATCGACCCGATACTCATTCAATCAGCTAGACCTCACTCCTATAGCTCTGATACCACTGTTGTAACTAAAACCTAACTTATCAATCACACAAACACACAATCAAGAATCAACAGCAGAAATTTTACCGTAGTTCACCTATCTTGTTTCAAATAGGCTACATCCACGTTGAACTCCGGAAATGGAGAGCTCACTGCACTAATCTTTAATTGAAAACAATTCACATACACACTCAGATCAACCCAATCTGAACAACCCTTAAACCAAACCAACCTGTAACTTCTAATCCTAGAGATATCCCCACAGAAATCTCTAAACCTTGAGAGAACTATAACCCTCACAAAATGACAAGATCCTATCACTCAATCTTTACAAATCACACAAATTTGATTCAAGTTGTGTAATGCTCTTAGACGAAACGAAGAAGAAGCTGCAGTGAATCTGAATTTTTCTGTTGCTTTTATAGAGTTGACTGGAATTGATGATAGTAGCCGTTGGATCTTTGTTTGATCAATGGTCTGAAATTGTCCACTCAAAGCTCAAAACGGCAGCGCATCACTAACTCCAAAACGACGCAGCTTCAAGTCTTCACTCAACAGGTCTCTTAGCCTTATTTTCCATGTTCATAGGCACCGGGTTCATTTTAAATGCATTGCTAATTCAATTATTAATTAATGTTAGTAAAGTAATATATACATGAATGGTCAAATACTAAACCATAGCTCCTGGTGCTTGTAGCTTACTGCATCGGCATCAGGGCCATATGGAATTTGAAAGCATATATACAAGAATATGATACCCATTCAGAGAGATTGACTTTCCATAAACAAATTATAAATTCATTTTGGTTCTAATAAAATCTAACAAGTTGTCATGTTTACTCATTAAATGTGCCAGCATGTTGCTTAGAGTGATGGCAGTATTTATTAATATTAATATTTCATATTTCTTCTTCTAATATACTTCGAACAGCCCCTTCAATTATTATGAGAACTCTTGTCACACGTGCACTATACTCACAGTATCAATATCACTAGAAACGTTAATAATTACCATAAATCACTTTTAATTATGAATATGTTTAAACGGCAGACAATGGACCCACTTTTCTTCTAGATAAACGAACCACATAAAAAAAAAGAGAAATTGAAAAGGATTATGGTAAGAACAGGCATGCTTAATTAATTGCCACTTACAGATGTGCCCTTAATTTTATTTCAAATGCCGACAAATATATATAATGTTGAAACATATATGTGTTTCTCCCACTTTTAATAATTATAAGAAATTTTAATAGAATAATTTAAATATTTTTTATGATGTAGGGATAATCATAATCAATTGAAACAAAAAGCTTAAGGGGAGAAATAACTACAACTAGTGGACCATGGCTTGTTTATAATATTACAAAATGAGTAAGCTACTGTAACGCCTTGCTTAAGGTATGTAGTTTAGATTTATTATATTACTTAAATGTTCATTGATCCAGCTTCAATTGAGTTTGTATGTTGTTATTTTTGGTTGGTTGGTCTTTGGTTGAAATGGTGTGTTGAGTTGGTTGAGTGTTTGCTTTAAAATTGGTTGAGATTTGAGAAATCTTGGTATTACAGTCTTCGTCGGGGCGAAGAATAGTCTTCGAGAATTCTCTATAGGGGTAAAATGACTATTCTACCCCTAATTGGCAGGAAAAGTGGAGAGTAAAATGTAAGAAAATTTAGTAGAGAATGTGTTGGAGTTGGGGGTGTGTTTGTAATGAATCAAATGACAAAGATGGAATTTTCTAGGAAGAACAAGAGCAAAATGGGAAAGAGTGGTTATAATATGAGCTAAATACGGGATTAAGTGTAGTAAACCCTCATTTCACCCATTTTCACCGCCACTCTCACTCTCTATTTTCTTCTCATCCTTCATTTAATCTTCCAAGATTTCTAAGGAATTTTAGGGAGTTTTTGGGTGGTTGTTAGTAGAGATTTCATCTAAAGCATCCTAAGGTAAGGATTCTTGCTTTAGATGAGAATTTGTTTATGATTTGTTGAAGTCTTATGTTGTTATTGTTGTTTAAAGTTGTAGAGACAAGACAAGACAACAAGGGGAAGGAAAAGTGCTAGAGAAGTTATTTACCCACAAGGTAAGTAAATCCAACCCAAGTGAAGATTTAAGAACTTTTTTGAGTAGAGATTTATGTATGTATGTGTATATCTTATTTTTATTGAGAAATTGTGATGAGATGGATGGTTATTTCTAGTTATTGTTGTGTATACTTGAGTTATGAGAAGAGTTGAGATTTATGATGTTGAGTTGAGCTTGAGTTGAGTTTGATGGAAGTTGGAGAGAGTTTTGAGCCAAATTCTTTGGGAGTGTCTTTCTTTGACAGGAACGTAGAGAGTATAAGGGAGTTTCTCCCATTTTGGGATGACTCAATAGGGGAGAAGAGTTATAGATCAAGTAGAGTTTTGTATGCACATGAGTTGTATGATGAAATGCTTGAGTAAGGCATGAGTAAGAGTAGAGAACCTTAATTATTGCTACATGGCATAATTGCATTTCATGAGTGCATTAATGAGCATGAGTCATCCATATGCATTAATTGCATTAGAGAAATAGAGTAGAGAACTTTGAGTGTGAGTTTCATGAAGAGAAAAGAGAGAAAAAGAGAATAGAATAGGTTGTGCAATGGGAAACCCGTGAGTAATGGGTAGAGTATTCCCGCATGTATACCGCATTGAGAGAGCGGCATCAGTACGAGAGAGAGAAGTGGTGTAGCCCGTGAGAGTGCATGCGGATGAGGGCTATACCCGAGAGTACCCGAGAGAGAGATTATGCACTCACATGGCTAAGGGTTCCAAATCCATGCATAACCAAGTCCGATCGGCTAGAATGAGTAGAAGTCACGTAGAGCGGGAATGAGTCCCGGCCGTGCCTCCGGTAAGATGAGGTTGTGACTTACTAAAGAGAATTAGTAGAAAAGAGTTGTGAGAAAAAGAAAACAGAGAGAAGTATAAGAGAAAGAGTAAATGAGAATTGTAAGGAAAGAATTATAGAGAGAGTTACGGGGTTAGATGAGTAGGGGATTTACTTACTGAGCATTATTTTAGTGCTCACCCCGTTGTTTCCTATGTTTTGCAGGATCTAGGTGAGGACACGGTCGGATGGACATCGGCACGCGAGGGGAAGCGGTTACACTATCCACCATGTTTTTGATCACTTTTGTACATGATACAAATTTTGTGTAAAGAATATATACATATATATATATGTTTAATAAAAGAAAATTTTGGGCCCAACTATTTATGTTATCTTCCATGTGTTTTCATTATGTATATTTTATGAGTATATGAGTAGAAAGTGGCTATTACAACTACATTTTCCCACCCAAGGTTTGGCGAATCTACGGCTCCCACCCATGGTTTCATAAATTACAGATTCCTACTCTTAAATTAATACCGTTACTTTTCTCTCAAAATAACCCCCAGAGAAAATCCCTACCAAGCCAAAAATCCAGCTTGATTCCGGCACTATTGGACCTCCCCGACACCACCATCATCATCCCCTTATCCTCCTCACAAAAACCCCTAACTTTTCCACCCAATTGCACCTCGACGAGGTGCCAGAATTTGGCTGAAAAGGCGCGATAAAATGCGAAAACCTAAGGGAGAGGTGGTGGTGATCGACGGACAATTACGGTCGGCGATGTTGAGGGTTTTGATGGGAGGGAAGCCAGTGATGCTATTGGTGGTGTTGGGGGTGGTTTTCGGTGTTGGGACTTGCCAGAATTTGGATGAAACGCTGATTGAAACTAATAGCAACAACCAGTGATTGGGAGGTTCAATCAAACGGGGAGGTTAAAAGGTTTTGATGTGGGGGTTGAGAGAATTGTAATGGTGGTGTCAAGAGGGGTCGACTGCATTGGGAATATGCTAGAATGGCCTAAAATTGTCGGTGGGGTGAATTTCAGAAATCAAGGATAATTTTGAAATTTTTACCCATTTTGTCTTTTTAACTACTAGATTAAATAATTTTTTATTAATTTAAGGGTGAAAATCAGTAACTTATGAAACCATCGATGAAAATTGCAAATTCGCGAAACCTTCCTTGAAAAATGTCGTTTTACTCTTACAAAATTAATGAAAGGATCCAGACAAACCAACTCCCTCTCTAGTCTTTTCAATTACACCATTCATAACTTGAACGTGACTAGTGCTCCTGCTCCTTGTCGGGTTTCCACTTTCCATTTATTTATTTGATATATTTTTAATTATTCAGATATTTATTTATATTCTTTTCCACTTTTTGTTTCTCAGGATGTCTAAGTTAGTTTGTACATATCTCAACTAATTATTTGAGATTCTAAAATTGACAATTAAATAAATCTTTTCAATGACCCCTTATTAGTAATCTAATTAAAAACTTAAAACCTCTTAAATAATATACCAAAAAATTTTAATTGACTGTTAATCCACCAATTATAATTCCTCTTTATATTCTTACTTACACTGTTTTCCTTAAATAACTTATCATATCATAATTTTCAATTTTAGTTTAAATAATTAAATATAAAATAAACGTTTAGACGTGCTTTCATTATGACGTTAGGTTATTTCCAAATTCACCCTCAAACAAACCAACAATCCCCAAAAACGGTGTTAGGCTCTCCTAATAATCCGGATTCTGGGGAAAGTATCTCCCCCTCTGTGCTATTTTGTTTAAAAATTAATTAACATTAAAATTATAAAATTATAAAGTTTCACTTGTGTCTCTCACTCGCTTCACTCTCCAAAACCTCCACACTTACAGTGTTCACATTTCAAATCTCTTCATCACACCAAACCCTAATTCCCAAGAATCCACTAATTCCTGAGCACTTTCACCCTTCCCTCACTCATTCCACTCAAACTCTCCATCAGAGACCCACCTCCATTTCCATGGCATTACTGTAAATATATGATGACACTGAGGGTAAAATCGATTGCTAATGGGTGTGGCGAAAGCGTGGAGTTTTAGCTTGATATCGGCGAACCTGGCTTTGTTACAGCAACAGAACGGTTACAACGGCAACGGAAATGTCAAACATTTTGTGCTGTGGAGATGGCGATCCTATGGTTCGCAGCGTAGGAAGATCTCGTGGCCTTTAGTTTGTGGTTTGATGCTTTTTGCTTTGGGGTTGATTTCGCTCTTCACTGGTCATGTAGCATCTGATCTTGAATGGTACTCTCAGCGATTGGTTAAGCCCAGCTTGTACTCCAAATTGGTAAATTTTTCACCTTTTTTTTTCCCTTTTAATTTTAGTTTGAATACTTGAGCTACATAGCTTACACTGACTATGAAATACGTGCTATGTAATGTAGAGGGAAGGAATTGGAAGTCGACATGCGCAAATTGAAATTTGGAAATCGAATTATTCGAATTATTACTATGGATGTAGCGAAAGAAGCAAAAAGTCTGCTGGTAAATACAACTTGTTTCAGTTACTGTATTATTATTTTTTAGTTTGTTGTTCCTTGTTATCATTATCACTAAATTACTTAAAAGATTTACTGAACCATAATGAATGCATTTTTCTATGGTAATTTTACTGAATCTGCCTTTTTTGTCGGTTCTGTTTTTTTTTTTTTTTTTTTTTTTTAAATTATACTTTGTAAACAACTGCTTTCAGCTTTCTAAGTGCTAATAAACATTTTATTTTTTTTAATGTTGTTGGTCCATGATCAGAATTGGACTGGATTTGATGGAGACTTTTCCAGTATCAGCCGCTCTGTCTATGTTTTTGTATTTTTTTTTTTTTTTCTTTCTAACACTGCTAATCTTGATAACTAGCTGCCACAACCGAGCGATCATCAAATGGCTATTTGCTTATTGCAGCAAGTGGAGGACTCAACCAACAAAGAACAGGAGTAAGTAGTAGATATTATTTCCTGTTCTAGTAGAAGATATTGTTGTCATACCAGTTATATTATTACAATACAATACACCAGCAGCTTTTGAATAATTGATTTTAGTTATGTGAGGTTGAATTAAGTCCTAACTAGTCTTTTAAATGATACTCGTAAAACACACACGCACAGACGCACACACACACAAAAGGTCCTTATCCAGTGCTGGCCCTGGTGAGGCAGGGCCCTGCAAGGGCTATTGTGGATGTGGCCTGGCTTTTCGCATGAATTGATGTCATTGAAGACTTGAACCTAAGTATTTGTGCTTATCAGTTTCCGAATTTATACCAAAATTGATTTTGTTACATTTGGGAATAACAATCATTTCTCAAACTCAGATAACAGATGCTGTGGTTGTTGCTCGTATTCTTAATACCACTTTAGTTGTACCTGAGTTGGATCATCATTCCTATTGGAAGGATGATAGGTAAGTTGAGATTCTATCAACTACTAGCAGTAGCATTTGAACTGTAATCCATTTCTCCTGTTGTGTTGCTTACCAATTTTCCTCTTGTTGTATGTGTCATGCAGCGAATTTGTCAACATATTTGACGTTAATCATTTCATTTCTTCTCTTTCAAAAGATGTGACTATTGTAAAAAGAGTTCCTGATAAAGTGATGCGATCAATGGAAAAACCACCTTACACTATGCGAGTTCCTAGGAAATCAACCCCTGAATATTATCTTGATCAAGTTCTGCCGATACTGTTGAGAAGACGTGTAAGTTTTACTTGGTACAATCTGTAATTATTATTATTATTATTATTATTATTATTATTATTATTATTATTATTATTTCTTTCAAATTTGATTTTATATATAATTTGCTGATAAAAGCTTTTATCTTTTCTTTAGTTACTAGTACAGCCTTGACTCTTTCTTTTAAGATTTTGACTTGGATATATCTCATGAATTCAGAATGTCTGTGATTCTATGAAACTATCAAGTTAGGTTTAGTATTTGTTGTTCCTGTGATATCCTAAATTTTTTATCCATTATCTGTAAGACAATCTTTGTTAAAAGGTTCCATTTTGGTCTCATTAACACCCTGGATATGCAGGTGGTGCAACTGACAAAGTTTGATTATAGACTTGCTAATGACCTAGACGAGGAGCTGCAGAAGTTGCGTTGCCGAGTAAATTATCATGCTTTAAGATTTACAAAACCTATCCAAGGACTTGGTCAGAAACTTGTCATGAGAATGCGAAAGATGGCAAAACGTTTTATTGCAGTTCACTTGAGGTTTGTCCTGATAATTAAAAAGTATGAAAGTTAAGTGTACATGTAGTGCTATGTCTATAAACACTCAAATAGATTACAATGTATTGTGCTGGATGCCACTCATCCTCATATTTTTGTTCTATTCTATGTGGTTCTGAAGATATGTCCTAAATAGTTAATCATTCAATACTTTCACAATCATTTTTCTTCAGTTATTTGTAGATTTCCAACTGCAGCTCCACACCTTCATACAATTGTCTGTAAAGACATAAATTTTATATATAAGGGTGTACATATATACAAGAATGGTTATAGAGGATGAATTTCTTTTCACATATTTGAATTTCCATAATGTGCCGAAAAATATTTAATTACAGGTTTGAACCTGATATGCTAGCATTTTCTGGGTGTTACTATGGTGGAGGTGAGAAAGAGAGATATGAGCTTGGTGAAATAAGGAAAAGATGGGCAACATTACCTGTGAGATTACTATTCATTATGACCTATTTTCTTTGGTTGTTCATTTCAGTCAGCAGAATGTTTAATTTATTTGTTGTTTTCACACAAATGACCAAAAAGTTCTGATGGAATACACAATCACTGTCTATATTCCGTTTTTCAATTGGTTTATTTTATTGAAAAATGCAAATACATTTCTTAACCAATTACCCAAAGATTATGTGTACAGTGCTTATGAAAAGTTGTACGCCTATTTCTTCCATCTATATCAAGTAATTTGAAGGTAACATTGTATTTCTCCATTATTTATGCAGGATTTAAGTCCTGAGGGAGAGCGCAAGCGAGGGAAGTGCCCACTTACTCCTCATGAAGTGGGGTTGATGCTGCGGGCAATTGGTTTTGCAAATGATACATACCTCTATGTTGCTTCTGGAGAAATATATGGCGGAGAAGAGACTCTGCGGCCTTTAAGAGAACTCTTCCCAAACTTCTATACAAAGGAGATGCTTGCCAATGAAGAGCTGAAACCTTTTCTTCCATTCTCATCTAGGCTTGCTGCCATTGACTACATTGTCTGTGATGAGAGCGATGTTTTTGTCACGAACAACAATGGAAATATGGCCAAAATTCTTGCGGGTCGAAGGTGAGAAATCTGGTCCATTTATTTTGTATCACGCTCTTATGCATTTCGATTTAAACTTTGTTTCTTGGGTATGAAGGTATGGTTGATTGAGTTGTGCTTAAATATTTATCTGTGGATTGCTGATGATGAATAGAAATAAATTTTCTGGTTCAACAAAACGCAAGAACTGTAAATTTGGATGCAAGAATACAACGCATTGACTGGGATATAGCAGTGAGGACTGAGGAGAGCCAACTGAATGAAGTCACTGACTTAAATCTTAATTTTGAGTATGGTAGAATAAATCTAATAGAAATTCCGGCTCATACATTTAGTGGATTCAAGCAATATTTATGAGTGAAATTAATTTAATTTTTTGTTCAGTGATGATTTGGTGTTAGTGAGTCAACTAGAAAATAATGTTTGAAATTAGGCCTTTAGGCCTCATGCTGATGAGGGTTAGCCAGCTAGGGTATCATTGTCATTAGAGGAATGGAACTTGAGGCTGCTTATTGGGTACCATCATCATAATCCTTGCATCTTTCCTGCTAATGCTTGAAAAAGTCTCTGTGATTTCATTCTTGCAATAAAGGGGGTTCACTAGGTTTGAAGCATATGAACTCATATTTTTAATCTTCACATTTACTGCTCATTGATAATCCCTTGTTGGATTGTTCTGCACTTTGGAACCAAGTGGCTAATATGGTAGCAAAATAACTGTTTGCCATCTGGCCGAATGAGTAACAGCTTAATAAACTTCTTCGGGACTTTGTTTTTTAATATTCATTCTTATCTATATTGTCAGTAATGGTTGGTAATTAATATGAAATTGCTCGTTGAAAAACAACTAAAAGTTCTGTTCTTAGAGATTTCTCTCACTAGGGGCCCTCTAGTTGTTCTGAAAGAACAGAAATTGAACTGAAAAGTTAACAGTATCAATTAAAAAGTGGGTGAATATTCTTGATTCTGGAAATATGTAGTGTGGTGGGTGTCCTTATCTGTTATGTATTTGCCAGTGATATTATCTTACGACTATCGTGTAGCATTTGATTTTTATAAATCTGACATTGTTTGTACTAATCAGCTCTAGTTGGTATTCAAACTTATTTTAGAATACAGTTACAACTGCATGACAAAATCTGACAAAAGCTAGTAGACTGGTTTGTCCACTAAAATAAACTTAACTGGGTGTTGTAGGTTGGTACCGAAAGCTGCATTTTAGAAATTGACTTAAAAGAATTTAGGAGTTTGATAGAATAGTCACAAGGTTTACTTGTGAAGGTGGATGCCTCTTGATTTTGACAGGAGTTGACAGCTTTCTCTACGGTAGTGCAAAGTGAAACAACTTTTTATGCAGATAATAAACTGACTTTAATGACACAAAGTACAGCATTTATCAGAAAATAACTTAAAACTGCTAAAAACCAAGCTAAATAAAAGTATATTAATAAGGCTACAATTGAACATGAAACAGTATATTGGGACTTACATTTGGTTCAAAACAGTATATTGGGACTTACATTTGGTTCATAAATTTTATTGTGCTTGGATTTTTCTGTCTCTTAGAAAGGGATAGCTGGCAATATCCATTTCTGTTTTACTGTCTAATAAATATTGGATCTTATTAACTAAAGTATCATCTCCCATAGTGAAATATTCAGATTTCAGATTCCTTGTTCTTGTGACTGCTGATCTTCATAGTTTCAATCATCCTTTATCACTATTTTTGCTCTTTGATTTTGTTTTTCCTTCTGGACATTCATCAGTAACTATCTCTTATTGATCATGCATGATGCATTGTAGGAGGTACATGGGGCATAAGAGGACCATCAGACCAAATGCGAAGAGGCTCAGTGCTCTGTTCATGGCAAGACATAAGATGGATTGGGATACTTTTGCCAGGAAGGTAAAGTCATGCCAAAGAGGATTCATGGGAGAGCCAGATGAGATGAAACCAGGAAGAGGTGAGTTTCATGAATTCCCAGATTCGTGTATCTGTGAAAAACAAGCCAATGATAATGGAAACAAGAAAAATGGGGATCATCACTTGAAATTAGATTCCGTGAACTCAGTTGTTAAATCTAAAGATGAAGAGAACCAAGGTGAGAAAAAATTTAGAAACAGCATGGGAAAAGTGCGGGTAAATACTGTAGATGACGAGTTTGATGAACATTTTCCTGACTAAGGGGCTAAAGTTTTTAGTGCGGCTCAAGCCAACTCAAATGGCTGAATTTGACTTTATGTACAGAACAAAGGAAACCTTTGATGGATTGCAATTGTTAATAAATAGTTTTTGTTAGGTATAGGTATGTAGGTAATTCCCAAATCCTGTTGTGATGTTTTACTTAATTACATACATAATGACCTCCGGTTAAATTGGTGTGTTATATGTTTACCAATGTGCTGGTGAAGCCCAATTATTAACCGATACTTATATAGTTTGATGATAAAATCCTCTTTCATCGATCCACGCGACTCAAGTATTCTGTAAATCTCTTTTCGTGTAAGTAATAAACTGCTTGTTATTATCCTTAGGGGCACTTAAGGTACCTAAACTTTAAGACCAAAAAATGTAAACTTCAGATAATATACATTAGTTTTCATCAAGCCAACTTTTTCTATCAAACTGGCATTGCAAGGTAAATCTACTCTCCAATTATCAGCTTAGCAGGCACAACTCAAAAAAACTTACTAGGAAAGTCACTTTGTCCCCAAATTAGAACTTCCATTAACTGGCTATTGAAACTACGGAGGCGTATCCAAAATACATAAAAGAAAAGGTTTGTGAATATTGCGGGCAGTGCACCACAAGAACAATTATCACTAATCACGTTTTGTGAATGTGAGTGGCACCACCAAAGAATGATCAGATGGCCAAGGTGAGCATATTGCCTTCCATGAAGAGTAAAAATTATCATCTTCAAAGCTTCTATGTAATTTCAAGCCAAACTACATGGAAAATTTCCATATACAACCTATTTTTAGGGTAAGACCTAGGATGACCAAATCATAATTGTAAAGAAAGCTAAAATCAATATTAACATCTACTGGCTAGATCTCATTAACTAAACCCAAGGAAGCAAGAATTTCCATTCCTAGCTTTTCTCCACTATCATAAATATACACAAAAAACTATGCTGGTGCATGCTGGTCACCCAGTAACTATTGACTTTCCTCTTGACACAATCCTGTCATTCTAAGAGCTTCCTCTCAACCATGGTTATTCCCTGTTAAAGTCAAAGCAGTCAGAGATTCATTAATGTATGAAGATAACATCTCTAGTGAATTCTGAAATTTGATTTCCTCACCTTTTGGGCATATTCCTGTTCTGACTTTTGTGACTTTTGTCATGTGAAACGGAAGGAATTTTTGAGATGATCAATGAACTCTGCAGACCTTCCAATAACTGTTAAAGGCAACAAGTTCAATAAGCACATTGTATTGACAATCAGGCAGATAAAAATCTTTAACACAACATGAAACTAAAAAATAGGACACAGGATATTCACAGTATTGATAACAGAATATAGTCACTGTAACCAGAAAGGATAATGAAGTAACCAATTTTTAGAGAGGAATTTAAAAGGTCTAAAGGCTCACCCGCGATGTTGGCTGAATTCTGCGGTTAGATCTACGAGGTTCAACAAGTTCAGATGCTGATTTTGCAGAATTACCACCAAAGACTTTGTCCTCTTCAATTTTAGTCAACTTTCCACCAGCAGGTGCAAGTTTCCCTTTAGTCACCCGTTCAGTTTTAGGATTTGATGCAGAAACTTTCTTAGATGCAGCATCTGCTGAGAGAGGCATCGAAGTAAACAAGATTGGACCCTCTGGTGCTCCCTCAGAAGTAGACATGGATTGAAACTCCGTCAGGTCATTCTTTCCTGATGTGGTGTCAACATGCCTTGTAGAATCTTTGATCTTTGCCATGTGATCTACAGCACCACCATCATCAGGAGCAGACACTGAAGAACTCACAAAATTGTCCTTCTGCGGAATTGATCTACCCAAAACACTTGGTGGCTTTCCAGACTTATGAACCTTTGGCTTGGATACAGCTGCACGTTTTTCCTTTGGTTCACTTCTAGAAGCATTTTTCCATCCGCGAGATCCTGATGCTTGACCTTGAGGCATCAAATATTTTGTAAATTTAACTGAGTCATTTGCCCCACTGCTCTTGCTGGCCTGATTTACAACATAATGTTTGCTTACATCCATGAACTTCCTCTTCTTACCAGGCTTAGGAACACCAAAAACCACTCCAGATCCCTCCTTCTGCAGACCAGCCCGTATCATTCTGAGTGTATCAGGTTTATTCTCATCTCTAGTATTTTTTCCAATATTAAATATTTTTTCACTTGTTGACAAATCTAGTAATGTTGGCTCATCAGGCTTCCTAGATTCCATAATGCCAATACCTTTTAACATTTTATCCTTCCCTTTAGACTCAACAGCAGGATTGCCCAACCTCGGTCGCTTTTCCTGCGGAGTATCACCCTGAAAACAGAGTTTCGACTTGGTATAAGTAACAAAATGAAAAGTTTCTGGAGTTAGTCTTGGAATCATATCAAACACAAAAGCAAAAGGAAAAACATAAAACCTCATGGGAAGCACGGTTGTTTTCTGTTGAAGCGGACCACTCGACCCATTCCCCATCCCTCCAAATGAGAGAAGGTCTAAGATTCCATGCTCTAAGAGTTGATGTTTCTCCTTGCACTGCAGGCAGAACCACATCATCAATCATTTCCACTCCAAAAGCTCTATATTCTATAAAAGTGAGGATACAACCTTCAAAGGTTGTCAATGGAACAAGACAATTAATTACACAAACCTTGGAAATGAACAGTAAACGATGTTTCATCTTTCTTGCTCTTTTCAGTGACAACTCCTTCCCGCCAGCTAAAACAATAAACATATACATGAGCTAAATTGACACAGTAATACAAAATTGACAGTAATATTAGGAAGCAAAGATTGCTGAAGAGGAATCAAATAACACTTGTAGATACAAATTGAAAGCCTTAGTAATTAAATCATGGTTGTCGAAATCGATTTTACTGTAGATGATCAGTTGGGAGGAGGGGGATCTCAGGATCTACTATTTACAGAATATACAGCTATGCTAGAAATTGTAAATCATTTCTCTAAACCATCATTAAGAATCAAGAAAAATGGAAAATAATTAGTCCAACTACCTAGGATTTAGCCTTAAATGGGGCCCAAAATTATTATACAAGAAAATAGTGATGATGGATTGAAAAATTACAGAAATCTGATGAGCATAAGATGTACCATGAATTCTTGGTTCTTGATGGGTATTGAATTTGAATGCAAGATTATTAAAATATGTATCACATTAAAAGTCAGAAATAATAGAACCAACCCCTGCAAAAGTGTAATTTAATCGCAACTCAATAATTTGCCTTAATTCCTATAATACGCTTGATATCTCGAGCAGAAAAAGGGATATGAATCAAGAGTACACATAAAGCAAAGAACAGGTGATGTAGGACCATGAATGGGCATACCTATCTCCCATCCAAGCATCAACTCTATCTCCAATAGACCAAGTATACTCCCCCATAGCTGCTCTGCGTCTCTTCCTTGTACCTTCAAATGGCATAGCAGTAATAGGACGAGCAATGCGTATTTTGGGTGCCTCAGCTCCTTCACCATTAAGGACAACCCATTCCTTTAGCTTCTCTGAGCCTACATATTAAAGATCAAATACACATAAATATAAACAACTGATACACGACATGAAGAGCAAATTCTAGTTCCACATTCCTTCTAAGAAAAGTCTTGTATGTCAGAAGATTTCAGGTAATTGGTATTTTCATTAACAAATCATACTAGGCTCTTGTCCTATTGGACTCGGCCTCTAACCGTGTGAATAACTCATTATCATATGAGACAGGCAAGTTTGCCAGTCGAGGATAACACTACTATGAACCTTCTTTTATGGCAAGATTCACCCATCAAATGTCCTGACCTCCAGCTATGTGCATCATGGTTACAGAAAACTTTATGCAGTAACATGAACATAGAACAATATATTGCTAGAGTGATCCATAAAATAAGCACACCAAATATAAGATAAAACTTCTATCTTTTAAATTTACAATGTTTTTGTATTCAAAGAATATACATTCAGTTGATTCACTTCGTCAGATAAAAAACAAAAGTTTACCTTCTTCTGATGTAAGTTCAGAGTAACAAACGTATGCCTTCCCATCCTTCAGACTCAATACATTGGCTGTGAACCAGCCTGCTTTTAATTGCGCGCCCTCCTTGAAAACCTAAGAGATAAAACGGCCAAGATATTCAACTAAAAGATAAGCATACAATATCGTTGAACTGCAAAAACAAACTTCACTTTGAAAAGGAGGAGCTTGCCAAATTTTGAAATTTATCAACACCAAAGCTTGAGTCCAAAAAATCTAACAAGTAAAAAACTTAAAGATGCAAGTATTTTACTAAAAAATAAACAGAAATTCCAAATTACTAAAATTTCACAAACCTCTACTTGTGAACCCTCCTTGATGCCATTCTCTTTTGAGGGTTCGACCTCCTTTTCGTGCTCAATCTGAACACTGATGGACGGGGATCTTGATCCAGTCTCAGTTTCAGGAACAACACCTTTGTTTTTAGCCAAATCCGATGCTTTCCCGCCCTTGTGCCCCTTCGTACCCTTTCCACTGACTGCAACAGAACCTGAAAAGCCATCTACTAATCGAGCACCCTCAAATGACTCCTCAGATATCTCTCTCAAAGTAGGTGATTTCCCTTGGTTAGTGGTATGCATTTCTCTATTGCCCAAAGGCACCTCTTTTAAATTCTTGGCAGAGGTATCCGGGCCTTCTCTGGTGTTATCAATGTTCGCCTTTTCACCATTTACATTATTAGATTTCAGAATCAGTCGAGTTGATGCTTGGGGCACTTTCAAATAACCCTCCAGACCGGCTTCTATGAGATCACTCAAAGGCAAAGGATCACCCATAGCAACAATTTTTCCAGCTTGTGACACAGCTTCTGCAGCAAGCTCAGCAGCTTTTACAATGGCATCCATATTTTCAGCTCTTTTAGAAGCAGCAGAAGCAGCTTCCACCTGCCTTCTAGCAGCTTCCCTTGCAGCAAAAATAACTGAACTGGAAGCACTTATGGCCTTCTCACCCTTCAAGATGGATGCAGGAGTAGCTTTTCCCAAATCTTTCACACTGTCAGAAAGAGAAGATGCATTACTTTGACTAGAATCGCCATAACCACTTGAATCCAATGCTTCATCAGCCATCAATTTCGCTTGCATTGCTGCACCCGATGCAACATTGGCAGCTGCAGCTGCTGCCTTTGCTACAGCAGCAGCAGCAGCAATCGCTGCTGCTGCAGAAGCTAGTTTGCTTTCAACATCCAGCACCAATCCAGAATTTTTCTGCTTTTCCAACTGCTTCCATATTTCTTGGTTTTGACTAACAGCAGCAGCAGCAAAGGCAGCAGCATCCTCTGCTTGTGTCCTAGCCTCCTTAAGTTTAGAAAGGGTCTCCTCAGACAAAGTAGCTCTCTGATGTGTCTCACGGTCCCCTTTTTTAAGGTGGCCAGTGGAAATTGAAGGAGATAACGGCATGATGACTTAAATTAGAACTTCCATTAACTGGCTATTGAAACTACGGAGGCGTATCCAAAATACATAAAAAAAAAAAGGTTTGTGAATATTGCGGGCAGTGCACCACAAGAACAATTATCACTAATCACGTTTTGTGAATGTGAGTGGCACCACCAAAGAATGATCAGATGGCCAAGGTGAGCATATTGCCTTCCATGAAGAGTAAAAATTATCATCTTCAAAGCTTCTATGTAATTTCAAGCCAAACTACATGGAAAATTTCCATATACAACCTATTTTTAGGGTAAGACCTAGGATGACCAAATCATAATTGTAAAGAAAGCTAAAATCAATATTAACATCTACTGGCTAGATCTCATTAACTAAACCCAAGGAAGCAAGAATTTCCATTCCTAGCTTTTCTCCACTATCATAAATATACACAAAAAACTATGCTGGTGCATGCTGGTCACCCAGTAACTATTGACTTTCCTCTTGACACAATCCTGTCATTCTAAGAGCTTCCTCTCAACCATGGTTATTCCCTGTTAAAGTCAAAGCAGTCAGAGATTCATTAATGTATGAAGATAACATCTCTAGTGAATTCTGAAATTTGATTTCCTCACCTTTTGGGCATATTCCTGTTCTGACTTTTGTGACTTTTGTCATGTGAAACGGAAGGAATTTTTGAGATGATCAATGAACTCTGCAGACCTTCCAATAACTGTTGAAGGCAACAAGTTCAATAAGCACATTGTATTGACAATCAGGCAGATAAAAATCTTTAACACAACATGAAACTAAAAAATAGGACACCGGATATTCACAGTATTGATAACAGAATATAGTCACTGTAACCAGAAAGGATAATGAAGTAACCAATTTTTAGAGAGGAATTTAAAAGGTCTAAAGGCTCACCCGCGATGTTGGCTGAATTCTGCGGTTAGATCTACGAGGTTCAACAAGTTCAGATGCTGATTTTGCAGAATTACCACCAAAGACTTTGTCCTCTTCAATTTTAGTCAACTTTCCACCAGCAGGTGCAAGTTTCCCTTTAGTCACCCGTTCAGTTTTAGGATTTGATGCAGAAACTTTCTTAGATGCAGCATCTGCTGAGAGAGGCATCGAAGTAAACAAGATTGGACCCTCTGGTGCTCCCTCAGAAGTAGACATGGATTGAAACTCCGTCAGGTCATTCTTTCCTGATGTGGTGTCAACATGCCTTGTAGAATCTTTGATCTTTGCCATGTGATCTACAGCAACACCATCATCAGGAGCAGACACTGAAGAACTCACAAAATTGTCCTTCTGCAGAATTGATCTACCCGAAACACTTGGTGGCTTTCCAGACTTATGAACCTTTGGCTTGGATACAGCTGCACGTTTTTCCTTTGGTTCACTTCTAGAAGCATTTTTCCATCCGCGAGATCCCGATGCTTGACCTTGAGGCATCAAATATTTTGTAAATTTAACTGAGTCATTTGCCCCACTGCTCTTGCTGGCCTGATTTACAACATAATGTTTGCTTACATCCATGAACTTCCTCTTCTTACCAGGCTTAGGAACACCAAAAACCACTCCAGATCCCTCCTTCTGCAGACCAGCCCGTATCATTCTGAGTGTATCAGGTTTATTCTCATCTCTAGTATTTTTTCCAATATTAAATATTTTTTCACTTGTTGACAAATCTAGTAATGTTGGCTCATCAGGCTTCCTAGATTCCATAATGCCAATACCTTTTAACATTTTATCCTTCCCTTTAGACTCAACAGCAGGATTGCCCAACCTCGGTCGCTTTTCCTGCGGAGTATCACCCTGAAAACAGAGTTTCGACTTGGTATAAGTAACAAAATGAAAAGTTTCTGGAGTTAGTCTTGGAATCATATCAAACACAAAAGCAAAAGGAAAAACATAAAACCTCATGGGAAGCACGGTTGTTTTCTGTTGAAGCGGACCACTCGACCCATTCCCCATCCCTCCAAATGAGAGAAGGTCTGAGATTCCATGCTCTAAAAGTTGATGTTTCTCCTTGCACTGCAGGCAGAACCACATCATCAATCATTTCCATTCCAAAAGCTATATATTCTATAAAAGTGAGGATACAACCTTCAAAGGTTGTCAATGGAACAAGACGATTAATTACACAAACCTTGGAAATGAACAGTAAATGATGTTTCATCTTTCTTGTTCTTTTCAGTGACAACTCCTTCCCGCCAGCTAAAACAATAAACATATACATGAGCTAAATTGACACAGTAATACAAAATTGACAGTAATATTAGGAAGCAAAGATTGCTGAAGAGGAATCAAATAACACTTGTAGATACAAATTGAAAGCCTTAGTAATTAAATCATGGTTGTCGAAATCGATTTTACTGTAGATGATCAGTTGGGAGGAGGGGGATCTCAGGATCTACTATTTACAGAATATACAGCTATGCTAGAAATTGTAAATCATTTCTCTAAACCATCATTAAGAATCAAGAAAAATGGAAAATAATTAGTCCAACTACCTAGGATTTAGCCTTAAATGGGGCCCAAAATTATTATACAAGAAAATAGTGATGATGGATTGAAAAATTACAGAAATCTGATGAGCATAAGATGTACCATGAATTCTTGGTTCTTGATGGGTATTGAATTTGAATGCAAGATTATTAAAATATGTATCACATTAAAAGTCAGAAATAATAGAACCAACCCCTACAGAAGTGTAATTTAATCCCAACTCAATAATTTGCCTTAATTCCTCTAATACACTTGATATCTCGAGCAGAAAAAGGGATATGAATCAAGAGCACACATAAAGCAAAGAACAGGTGATGTAGGACCATGAATGGGCATACCTATCTCCCATCCAAGCATCAACTCTATCTCCAATAGACCAAGTATACTCCCCCATAGCTGCTCTGCGTCTCTTCCTTGTACCTTCAAATGGCATAGCAGTAATAGGACGAGCAATGCGTATTTTGGGTGCCTCAGCTCCTTCACCATTAAGGACAACCCATTCCTTTAGCTTCTCTGAGCCTACATATTAAAGATCAAATACACATAAATATAAACAACTGATACACGACATGAAGAGCAAATTCTAGTTCCACATTCCTTCAAAGAAAAGTCTTGTATGTCAGAAGATTTCAGGTAATTGGTATTTTCATTAACAAATCATACTAGGCTCTTGTCCTATTGGACTCGGCCTCTAACCGTGTGAATAACTCATTATCATATGAGACAGGTAAGTTTGCCAGTCGAGGATGACACTACTATGAACCTTCTTTTATGGCAAGATTCACCCATCAAATGTCCTGACCTCCAGCTATGTGCATCATGGTTACAGAAAACTTTATGCAGTAACATGAACATAGAACAATATATTGCTAGAGTGATCCATAAAATAAGCACACCAAATATAAGATAAAACTTCTATCTTTTAAATTTACATTATTTTTGTATTCAAAGAATATACATTCAGTTGATTCACTTCGTCAGATAAAAAACAAAAGTTTACCTTCTTCTGATGTAAGTTCAGAGTAACAAACGTATGCCTTCCCATCCTTCAAACTCAATACATTGGCTGTGAACCAGCCTGCTTTTAATTGCGCGCCCTCCTTGAAAACCTAAGAGATAAAACGGCCAAGATATTCAACTAAAAGATAAGCATACAATATCGTTAAACTGCAAAAACAAACTTCACTTTGACAAGGAGGAGCTTGCCAAATTTTGAAATTTATCTACACCAAAGCTTGAGTCCAAAAAATCTAACAAGTGAAAAACTTAAAGATGCAAGTATTTTACTAAAAAATAAACAGAAATTCCAAATTACTCAAATTTCACAAACCTCTACTTGTGAACCCTCCTTGATGCCATTCTCTTTTGAGGGTTCGACCTCCTTTTCGTGCTCAATCTGAACACTGATGGACGGGGATCTTGATCCAGTCTCAGTTTCAGGAACAACACCTTTGTTTTTAGCCAAATCCGATGCTTTCCCGCCCTTGTGCCCCTTCGTACCCTTTCCACTGACTGCAACAGAACCTGAAAAGCCATCTACTAATCGAGCACCCTCAAATGACTCCTCAGATATCTCTCTCAAAGTAGGTGATTTCCCTTGGTTAGTGGTATGCATTTCTCTATTGCCCAAAGGCACCTCTTTTAAATTCTTGGCAGAGGTATCCGGGCCTTCTCTGGTGTTATCAATGTTCGCCTTTTCACCATTTACATTATTAGATTTCAGAATCAGTCGAGTTGATGCTTGGGGCACTTTCAAATAACCCTCCAGACCGGCTTCTATGAGATCACTCAAAGGCAAAGGATCACCCATAGCAACAATTTTTCCAGCTTGTGACACAGCTTCTGCAGCAAGCTCAGCAGCTTTTACAATGGCATCCATATTTTCAGCTCTTTTAGAAGCAGCAGAAGCAGCTTCCACCTGCCTTCTAGCAGCTTCCCTTGCAGCAAAAATAACTGAACTGGAAGCACTTATGGCCTTCTCACCCTTCAAGATGGATGCAGGAGTAGCTTTTCCCAAATCTTTCACACTGTCAGAAAGAGAAGATGCATTACTTTGACTAGAATCGCCATAACCACTTGAATCCAATGCTTCATCAGCCATCAATTTCGCTTGCATTGCTGCACCCGATGCAACATTGGCAGCTGCAGCTGCTGCCTTTGCTACAGCAGCAGCAGCAGCAATAGCTGCTGCTGCAGAAGCTAGTTTGCTTTCAACATCCAGCACCAATCCAGAATTTTTCTGCTTTTCCAACTGCTTCCATATTTCTTGGTTTTGACTAACAGCAGCAGCAGCAAAGGCAGCAGCATCCTCTGCTTGTGTCCTAGCCTCCTTAAGTTTAGAAAGGGTCTCCTCAGACAAAGTAGCTCTCTGATGTGTCTCACGGTCCCCTTTTTTAACGTGGCCAGTGGAAATTGAAGGAGATAACGGCATGATGACTTTCTCTGTTGAAGCTTTAGACATAACACTTGCAGGAGTTGCGATGGCAACGGATGTAGACACAAGACTGGTAACA